ATTTTCTTACACTAACAACAATCAGAAAAGAATATAAAGATGTCGTTTACAAGAGCACCAAAAGTAGAAAATATTTAGGAATAAGTAAAAAATGTGTAAGACCTGTACATTAAAAACTACAAACACTGCTAGAGAAATTAAAGAAGCCCTATATAAACAGAGAAACATACCCTGTTCATGAGTCAGAGACTTCAATATTGTCAACTTTTCCCAGACTGACCTATTGATTCACCATAATTCCAATTAAAATCCCAGCAGGAAAATTTATTTTATTTGTTTTTGAAACTGACACACTAATCTTAAAATTCATATGTAAATGTAAATGACCCAGCATACTGCTCCCCACCCCTCCAAAAAAAAACAAAAACCTTTGAAAAGAAAGAATAAAGTTGAAAGGACAACACAACCTGATTTCAAGATTTACTATCGAGTTACAGTAAATTAAAATTCAATGGTGAAAGGGCAATCTTTTTCAACAGATGGTACTAGAAGAATTGGATATCTGTGTGCAAAAAAATAAACTTCAATCCACATCTCAAACCATATTTACAAAGTTAACTAAGGATGGATCGTAGACCAAAATATAGATCCTAAAATTATAAATCTGCTAGCAGAAATCACATAAGAAAATCTTTGTGACCTTGGCTTAGGCAAAGATTTTAGATACAACACCAAAAGTATGAACCATAAAAGAAAAGTTCGATATATGAACTTATAATTAAGAATTCCTCCCCCCTTCAAAGAAAATATTAAGAAAATTAAAAGACAATCCAAAGACTGGGGAAAAAAATTTGATAAACTACTTTTACTCAGAATATACAAAGAATTTTCAAACCTGAATAAGAAAACAAACAATTTAAAAATAGGTAAAAGAGTTGAGCGGATACTTCATCAAAGAAATTATACAGTGGTAAATAAGCACATGAAAAGAAGCTCAACATTATTAGATATCAGGGAAATACTAATTATAACCACCACATACTTCTTATAGTGGCTGAAATTAAACACCTTGCTGACCAGTCACTAGTATTCAAGTGCAGAAAAGTAGCTGGACGCACAGGCGAGTTCTGGCTTGAAATAGCAGGTCAGCAGGGTGTTTCAGAAGGCTGGCAATATGAAGTGGTGTTGGTGCATTTGTGGAGAAACTATACTCTCCATACACTCCTGGTGAAAATGTAAAATGGTAAAAAACATTTTGGCAGTTTTTAAAAAAAGTTAAGTAACTGCTATACGATCCAGCCATTCCACTCACTCCTAGGTATTTATCTAAGAGGAAAAAAAGCATGTGTCTATCCACGTACATGTCACAGGAGCTTTATTTGTGATAGCTCAAAACTGAAAACCCACATGTCCATCAACAGGTGAATGGATAATCAAACTGTGGCATAGTCATACAATGGAATACTACTTAGCAACAAAGCAATGTGCTATTGACATACTCCACAAAAAATAAAGCCTTGTCTAGTTTTCAAAATAATAAGGCTCAATCAAAGAAACTACATACATAAAAAATACTGTATAATTCCATATAAATATAAAATTCCATATAAATATTAAATTCCATATAATTCCATAAAAAGCTCTACAAAATGCAAACTAATCTAGAGTGCAGGTCAGTGACAGATCAGAGAAGAGGGTAGGTGCAAGCAGGGATGGAAGGAAGGGATTCCAAAGGGGCAAAAGGAAACTTTAGGAGGTTATAGATGTACTTGTTATTGTAATTATCTGGATATGTTCCTAACCTTAACTGTCATAATGGCTTCACAAAGTATATATACATATATATGTGCCAAAAATTATTCAATTTAATTATTCAATTAAATATGTGAAATTTATTGTATGTCAATTATACCTCAATAAAACTACTAGAAAGAATGACCCAACAATAATCAATATATTTATTAGCTAAATAAGAACTCCTCTTTTTCTTTTTAAATCAAGAAGACTGAATTGTTACCTTGCCAAAGATGATGAAAATTAACATTTAGTCAATATCCACTATATGCCAGGCATTATAGCCCTTCACATGTGCTAACTTAGTATCATTATCTTAAGGCTATTAGATGAAAAAAAAAGGGGGGGGGGTAAGAAGAAAACACAAAACTTTTGAAACTAGACAAGGCTTTATTTTTTTTTTAAATACTAATAATAACTCTTAACTTCCAGTTCCTATAAATCAAGTATACAGCAGTATCAATACACACAGCAGATTTAAATCTAAATACTTCAGAGTCAAGTTCTATAAATTCAGCTGGAATTGTCCTACAGCAGGAACACATGCCATAAAAAAAGTTTACACTGGATACTTAAATATGTTCTCATATGTTTGGGTACACTGAATTGTGTGATTACTCTGAGTTAATGGCCATTCAATCCAAGGGTTAAAAATATAGTTCCAATGGAAACAAATAAAAATAAAATGCTGCCATAGCTGATTCTGCTCAGTAGTTAGAGTGTCGGCCTGCTACTTCCATTCCAGTGAAAGGCATGTACCATGGTTGCAGGCTCAATCCCTGTCCCAGGTAGGTGGGAGAGTAGGAGGCAACCAATCGATGTGTCTCTCTCCCTTCCACTCTCTCTGAAAAGCAATGGGAAAAATATCTTCTGGTGAGGATTAAAAAATAACAATAAATTAATTAATTAAAATCCTGTGTAATTGGCAATGCTGAATTACCTTATGTAAAACTTGTAGCTGTTTCCAAAAAAGGATCTGAAGTGTCTCTTCTATTTGCAAAATGGGGTACCTATTTGGTGGACCTCTAAGACGCTTTTCACCTTTTGTCATTTTACTTTCACCCACTCAAATTCTTAGGAATTATATTAACCATATTTCAAACAAAATAACTGTAACCATTTAAAAATATGAAATATCTTACTAAGTTAATATATAAGAACCAAGTATAGCATTTGGAGGGCCACTTTTTACTCTATATTTTGACAAGGTTTTTAAGCTTCAGCACCACTGACATTTACAGCTAAGATATTGTGAGAGATTATACTGTGTATTGTAAGATTTTTTTCTCTCCAGCATTCCTGCTACCCACTAGATGCGGGAAGCACCTCCCCCAATTTTTGACAAGCAAAAATGTCTCCAAACATGAACCTCCTCCAGGCATAGGGCAGGAAATCTGAAAGCACAATGTTTTCTATTTGAAGGTTCTTAAGGATGTTTTAAATATTTATATACGGTATATGCTCTAAAAAGCCCATAAATTACTGAAAAAGGAAAAGGATTTGTATTTTTTAAATTATTGTTTTGTTTTCAAAACGCGGAAGCCAGGCCAGACAAAATATGCGACATGTGTGACGTCTTAATTTAGACCATGTCTCCTCTCCCACATGGAAGAAACTTCTCTGCCAAAGAAGTGTGTATGAACCATTCCTTCACTCTAAAGTTAAAGTTGTATGGCTTAATTTAGGAAATGTTCATACTACACTGGAACTCAACTTTATAGCTCTGCAATTACCCAACCTACAGTTTATCCCAAGTAAGTGTCAAATTCCATTAAGTCTTCAATTTCAAACTTCCATTATCTGTGATACAGCTCCTACATTCACACATTCTTTGTCTCACTCTCAGCCAAATCTTTTCTTTAATGAGTTAACTCTCAAGTAGAATGAAGAACAGAAATTAAAAGCTCACAATCTCAACTACATTTAGAAAATTTATATTTTCTTGAAAACTGGGTTTCTTTTTATACCACTAAACTGGATTTAATTGCTTTCTTACTATTCCACAGGAATAAATACAACTTACTTGTGATAAAGATTTGCTGTCATAAATGCAGAAAGAGTAAAAAACAAACTGGAAATATGGAATGTGGGTTCCAGTTCTGGCTCTGCCTCCTACTACCTGGATGACCACTCAAACATTCCCAAACTTCAGCTTTCTCGTTAGTAAAAAATGGAGGGTAGTATCTACCTGTAGGTTATTGTGAGGATTAATTATAATTTATGTGAAATCATTTTGTAAACAGTAAAGCACTATACAAATGTTAGGTGTTACTTGTGGTATCCTGGTACTGTGGTGTGGTATGGTAGAGAAAAAGGCACCTCAAATAAGGGACTTACATCATTGAATAAGTGTCACTTTTCAAAATAACTCATTAGGAAAAAAGCTTGAGATAAATTCTAAATTAAGATTCAGACATTTGGATTCAAAACTGCATTCTGCCATTAACTCTCTGTATTAACTCAGGCAAACTAACTTTCTTTCATCAAAAAGACCCAAGTACTGGACCAGATATTTTATAACTATTACTACAGCCTTTATCAGTCTACGAAATGACCCAGTATCCAAGATTCCTTTAACACTATATTCAAAACTCAGAGCACTCTTTGGTTTGCCAGCAAAACAGAAGTAGAGGGAAACAGACGTAAGAAATTTTTAATTAAGTAAAAGTAGAATTCTATGTAATTCTCTAGAAACACAGGAAGCTATAAACTACCTTGTTTGTTATAATTAATAGTTCTCTCATTTAGACAGTAGTGACGAAAACGGTGCATTAATAAAGGGCGGGGCTCTTTCCCACAAGCTTTTTGGGAGCCGCCCACTTCCCAAAAAGGTGTAACTGCTTCCTCCTGGCCCTTATTAGCCTAGAAACTTGAAAGATTAAAGTCTACGTAGTCTGAGAGTTTATTTTCTTTTCACTTGGGTAGGGATGACGGTAGTCATCTATCTGACAAACATATCCTATAAACACCATTATCCACAGTACCAAGTCTACGAAAGTCTAAGACAGACCTAAGTTTTTAGAATAACACTAGTTTCAAAAAATGATTTCAGACTATTAACTCAAAATTAGATAACCTTGTGTCAGTGGTGATTAGTTTTGACAACTGCCAAGTTTTCTCTTCCCAAATTAACCGCCCTCCCGCTTCCCTCCAGAGGCGACGCCTCATCCTCTCCTCCCGCACCGCGCCAGGACCCGGGGGAGAGCCCCGGAGAGGGAAGGCCGGGCAACCTAGGCCTCTGGGCGCCGCCACCCCTCGCTCCTCACCGATGACGCATCGCAGGTGCTTGAGGCGGGTCAGCGCGTCCTTCTTGGTGTCCAGCACCTTCTGGGTAGATTTCTTCACGTCCCCGTGCGGCTTCTTGGAGAACATCCTGCGGCTGCTGCCGCCACGGCAGTCTCCAGCCCCCGCCCGGCCCGGTCCCGGCGGCGGAAAGTGGAGGGAGTGGGCGGGGAGGAGACTAGCGTGAGCCGCTCATTCACTCCCCAACCTTGCGGGCCCCGGAGCAGCCGACTCCTCCCAGATCCAGGCCGGGGCCGCCACCTCCACCCGCCTCGCGCCGCGGCTGCAAGGAACCTTCGGCTCCGGCTCCAATATGGCGGATCCCTTCTCCCAGCAGTGCATGGAGCAAGGGAGACCTGGGTAGGTCGCCGGCCGCCGCCGCCCGCTTCCTGCGGCGGCCGCTCGCAGCCACAGGCCGGAGCCCGGGACTGGAGCCGCGGGGGTGGGGCTCTCGGCAGCAGCAACACTATTCCTCTCTCCCTGAGGCCCCCTTAAGGTTAAAGCGTCTTTAGCAGCTTAGACCTCGCAGAGAGACTGAGTGTAGGGGATTTCACGACTCTGCCGTCAGTGGAGCATGGTCCCCGTGGCAACCGCCCTCTGACGTCTGACGTCAAATTTTCTTGACGTCATGCCAGCGTGAGATCATCCGTGATATTATCCCCCCCTTTGGTTTCCTGTGTAAGCAGCTAAAGGAGGAGCCCGGGAAAGAGGAGGTAATTACTGCGTCCGTTATTTTAAGCAAAGTGATTCCTAGCCGAACTCCCAGAGTAGTATCGTATACTTTTTGTTTATAAAGCTCCTTCATCTCTGCTGTTTACTATATAATAGTAACTTAAGATAACTCCAAAATCTCAAAGCAGACGTGCAGTGTATTTTAGATGCCAATTCTGAAAGCATTGGTTGTAACACCCCTTCATTTACTAATTTGAATTTTGTTTAAAGGATTTTTGTTTTGCAAAGTGATGATTGAGAATTTACTGTAGTTTAAAGATTTGTAGGGTTATAGTACGTCCTCTTGGTTAAAATTACCTTGTACAAATAAATGGGTTCTCTCAAATGAATGCTGAACCAGAAAAATTACAGGGAAAATAAATATGGAGAACTTTAAGGGTGAATTTTCCTAATACGTAAAGAGGTCACAAATCCAGGAGGAAATTAAGGCACAGGTAGAAAAATTAGTAGAGAACATGGAAAAAAAAAAAATCACAGAAGTGTATAATCATAACTAAAACGAAAAATACGCTCATTAGTAATTTCAAAAATCAGATTAAAACAATATTATAAAACAAATTTTAAATAGTTTTATTAAGGTGTAATTGATAGACAATAAACTACACATTTTCAAAGTGTACAATTTGGTAAGTTTGACGTTTACATACAACCATAAAAACATCACAACAATCAAAATAGTGAACATATCCATCACCCCCTCGAAGTTTCCTCTTGCCCCTTTGTTATCCCTTCCTCCTACTCCCCCACCCGTGGTCCCCAGGCAACCACTGAGTTTCTGTCACTTAGAGTTTGAATTTTCAAGTTTTGTAAAAATGTAAGCATACAGTATACTCTTTTATTCATTTATTTTTGGTCTGGCTCCTTTTACTGAATATACATAATTCATTTTTAACAATAATGTAATGTTTTAATCAGTCAAATTAGTAAAGATTGTTTTTAAATTAGCTATCTTATTGATGGTGAGTGTGACAGCAGACACTCCTACTGCTTGCTCGGAAGAAGCTTTAATTACTACAAGCTTACTGGGAATTAAAATTCGGCATTATGGTCCTGGCCAGGTGGCTCAGCTGGTTGGAACATCATCCTGCTATGCCAGTGTTTCAGGTTCCATCCCCAGTCATGGCACATACAATAGTCAACCAATGAACACATGAATGGGTGGAACAACAAATCTGTTTTCTCTCTCTCTTTCTCTCTCTCTCTCTCTCACACACACACACACATGCACACACACACACAAATTGGCATGTATCAAGACACAAAATATTTATATACCTTGGTTCATTAGTTCTACTTTTAGAATATTCTAAAAAAAAATCAGAAATGGGAAAAATATTTATGTAAAAATATTAAAGCATAATTGATAACATTGAAAGACTGGAAACAATATGAATGTCTATCAGAAAGGAAATGATTGTCCAAAAGGTGGAATGTTATACATCCATGAAAATTATTAATGTGAAAACTTTTTAATGACATGGAAAATACTCAAGGCAATGTTAAGTGAAAAAGCAGATACCCAAACTGAAAATATGTATGTTATCAAAATTGTGAAAAATTATGCATATAAAATATAGTTAGAAAAAAGATTTAAAAATACTCTAAAATTGTGATTATATCTGTCAAGTATAATTGCAAGTGATTTTCAATTTCTTTATAGTTTGCTTAGTTTATTTTTTTACCAAAAAATATATATTGCTTTTAAAATTTAAAAAACAAGTTTTTAAAGAAAATTAAGAATTCTATGTAACAATTTTAAACTCACAAAGTAAATTAAGATGTATATGTAGAAATTCCTTAAAACACGGGTTTTATTAAAAATTTGTCTTTATGTTCTACTATGGCACAGAATAAGTATTTTTGATATTTAAATTGTTATGCTTACATTACAAAATGGTTTCTTTTGATGATAGAAGAGTTGTCTGATCCCATGATTCTGACTATCATTTATTTGGTAATTTTAGACACTCGTGTCCCTGCCTGTAATCCATGTCTCTTTTCTGACATACTGATTGGACCTCGCCATTTAGAGGCTCCACAAACCACTCAAATTTCGTATATATACAAAACTGTACTTGTAGCCTTTGTCCTGCCTCCTCCCAAACCTTATCCTTCTTCATCAAATATCTTCATTGATAATACCATTATCAGCCCAGGTTTTCAATTTAGAAATTACTATCATCTTAAGGCTTCTTCTCCTTCTCTCTTGTCCAGTCAGTTACCAACACCTGATGATTCTACTTCTTAAATATTTCTCAATTCAATCCTCTTCTCTCCATTATCACAACCTTTATTCAGGTTCAGAGTTTCACCATTTCTTGCCATGTGTGCTACAAATGACAGTAATTTACTCCCCACCCTCACATCCTAGCAGGATTTGAGCATACTCTCTAAGAAAATTTTAAGAGTTCTTAAAAAAACCTCACACAGACCAAGTCTTTTTTTTTTTTTTTTTTTTTTTAACATATATTTATTAATTTCAGAGAGAGGAAAGGATGGGGAGAGAGAGAGATAGAAACATCAATGATGAGAGAGTCATTGATCAGCTGCCTAGCCCGCAAACCGGGCATGTGCCCTGACCGGGAATCGAACCCTGATTGCCTGGATCCTAGGTCGATGCTCAACCGCTGAGCCACGCCCAGCCGGGCCAGACCAATAGTCTTATCTTCTCTCAGTACTTTAATAAAGTTAGTGTTAATGAAGAAGTGGCATGGATAAATGAAGACATCATTTCTTTTGGAAGAGGTGGAGCATAGTTTATAGATATGTATTTGTTTAAGAATATGTCTTACAGTCAGGAAATGTATATAGCACTTCAGATCAAAGAATAAAACCCACATTGAGGTAATAACTTCAAGGAAGCTAGATGCATGTCCAGATTTTATATTTTGCTCCCACTTCATACTGATTATGACCAGAATCTCTAAGTCTGTTAAGATGACATAGGAAAAGCAGACCTGGTCACTTACCCTTTCTAAAGAGCACTTATTGAAGTGGAGATGGGGGAAAAAAGGTAATTAGCTACATTGATTGCAGTGGATATATATATACATATATATATATATATATATATGTATATATATATATATAAATATATCTTTATTGATTTCAGAGAGAGGAAAGGAGGGGGAGAGAGAGAGATAGAAACATCAATGATGAGAGAGTCATTGATCAGCTGCCTAGCCCGCAAACCGGGCATGTGCCCTGACCGGGAATCGAACCCTGATTGCCTGGATCCTAGGTCGATGCTCAACCGCTGAGCCACGCCCAGCCGGGCCAGACCAATAGTCTTATCTTCTCTCAGTACTTTAATAAAGTTAGTGTTAATGAAGAAGTGGCATGGATAAATGAAGACATCATTTCTTTTGGAAGAGGTGGAGCATAGTTTATAGATATGTATTTGTTTAAGAATATGTCTTACAGTCAGGAAATGTATATAGCACTTCAGATCAAAGAATAAAACCCACATTGAGGTAATAACTTCAAGGAAGCTAGATGCATGTCCAGATTTTATATTTTGCTCCCACTTCATACTGATTATGACCAGAATCTCTAAGTCTGTTAAGATGACATAGGAAAAGCAGACCTGGTCACTTACCCTTTCTAAAGAGCACTTATTGAAGTGGAGATGGGGGAAAAAAGGTAATTAGCTACATTGATTGCAGTGGATATATATATACATATATATATATATATATATATGTATATATATATATATTAATATATCTTTATTGATTTCAGAGAGAGGAAAGGAGAGGGAGAGAGAGAGATAGAAACATCAATGATGAGAGAGTCATTGATTGAGCCCGCAACCCGGGCATGTGCCCTGACCGAGAATCTAATCTCGATGGCCTGGATCCTAGGTCAACACTCAGCCACTGAGCCATGTCCAGCCGGGCTGCAGTGGATATATATTGGTTTATGTGCCTGATAATCATATCCAGGTTTTCCTTTGGAAATCCACACCCTCTCTCTTGGTCTTACTTGATTTCATGCTCCACTGTCCCGGTAAGACTTGAGCATTCTAGCACCCTGGGCAAAGCAAATGTGTTTGCCTTGGGGACATAACCAGGTCAGTGCAATAAAACTCCTACAAGTATTGAAAAAGAGAAACTATTTTTCCATGATGATGGCTTGGAACTGCTAGGAAACAACATGTGAAAAGAATTGTTGAGGATAAAGCCAACAATCTAAGAACAGAGAAGATAATTAGAAAGGAATAGAGTGAGTCTTGGTAACATTGTTTGGGCATTTGGATCCAGCTTGCCTAAGTACGGTGATCTTTTTTATTTCACAGGCCAATAAAGTCCTTATTTTGCTCAAGCCAGTTTCAATCCCTTGCAATAGGAAAAACCCCGATTTACACATTTTAAAGATATTCTTCTAGGCAGAATAAGGATTACAAATTTAAAAAAGCAAACCAAAAATAAAATTGCTTGTAAATAATATTGCAGCCCTCCCCTTTTGTCTTTGCCATGACATTCACCACACTCTGTTGTAG